TCATCCCCAACCTTCTCTATCTCTTTACGGCTCTCACTCATCTGCATTCTCTCTCTAGAGCTCTCACATCCCTTCACTCTCTCTCTCTGTGCACTAGAGCTCTCACCCCTCTGCACTCTCTCTCTAGTGCTCTCACACCCCTACACTCTCTCTCCGTGAACTAGGGCTCTCACACCTTTGCATTCTCTCCCTCTAGCTCTCACACCACTGCAGTCTCTCACTCTGTGCACTAGGGCTATCACACCCTCTGCACTCTCTCTTTCTGAGATCTATTTTTTTCTTTTTGCGAGTAAATTATCTGTGAATGAGGGATTTTTGGCTGTTTTTTCACCTACTTTGGTTTCTTATCAGTTTGGTTTCTCTCTGTGGTGCTCTGATTTTTCATGCTCTCTCTGTGAAGCTTTAATTTTTCAAGCTCTCTCTCTGATGCTTTGATTTTTCATGCAACATCAGTAGCTACGTAAATCTCTGCGATCGCCATATTTTGGCCATTTCCAATTGCCTTTGCTTCTCTAGTAAGTCCTTTAAGCTTTTTTTACTTTTCATTTTCTGTTTATTCATGCAAGATCTCTTATCAAATGCGCTATAAACCTAGAACAGTATCTGAACGTTGATGTTATTGATGGAATGTGGTTGACAATATAGTAATCAATGAAATTTTAGATTAATGGATTGATTGTTTATGACTAGTTGCTATAATGGACTTATTCATTGGCCTTTTAATCGGAATGTTAAAATCAGCTGAAGTTGCTTGTGTCTCATGCTTAGTGGAAAGGATATTTGAGTCTCCATGCTATATGAATACTTGTGTCATAGATAATGCTCTGTTTATCTGTTTTATTTTTTGTAGTGTCACTATTTGTTTTTGCTTGATAAAAGAGCATGGTTTGTATATTTTGTTCTTTTGTTAAAACTACTTGATTGAGCTCTGGTTCTTATTATCATTTATTTATTCGATGGAATTGGGTTGGGGTATCAACATGGAATGCAGTTTATTCAGTCAACTATGAGAAACTAGTGGGGGAAAACATGAAAGGGAATTCAGTTT